TTCTTAAGACAATATTCCAATATATATATTTGTATTTACTATAAAAATATTCATATGTAATTTAACCATAACAGGAGACAAAGTTAGAATGACTTCTTAGCCACAAATAAGCATCTTGAGGGAGTGGGTTGCTAGATCTGTGGGCTAGGGACCACAGTCACAGAGGACATTAAGTTCTATTGGCACAACATGGTGTACAAAATTATTGTTCTGCATCTTACTTCAGTGAGTAGCGACTGAGGTCTTAAAAGCCTGCAGGTGGCCATCTAAAGGGGAACTATTGGTCTCTCCTCATCTAGATCAAAGAAGACTAAAGAAAATCAAAGACACATGGGAATAGTCTGAAGGACCAATGCCCCATGAGAACTTCAACGTATATTACTCAGAGACCAGAAGAACTAAATGGTGTCCAGCTACAAAAGCCAGTAACTCAGAAAGGAATCAAAATTGGAGATACTTTATAGAATGGGAGAAGAATGTGGAGCAAAACTCAAAAATCTTAAAATAAAGCCAGGCTTACCAGTCTGATGGGGACTGGTAATACCCCTGAAACTAGGGCCCCAAGTCACCCTTTCGGGCCTGGAATTGATCTCACTCCTGTGGCTTAATTCTCAAACAAACAATAGACAGGACTATGAGCTGGACATCTGCACTAGGGAGATTTACTCCTTAGAACAATCAACCATGGGAGATCATAAGGCCAACATTCACACAGGGATAAATGCAGAGAAGCAGAAATGCATAGGTAAGAAGGACACAGGGAGAGGGTAACTACAGGGAGGAAGTGGGAAGTGAAATACTACACTGTGGGGAATGTATCTAGTATCAGAAAATGAAATGTGTATATGAACTGTTGAATGTAAATTAAAACTCCTTCATAAAATTCTACCCAAAGCACAATAACAAGTTAAAATAAGTAAGTAAGTAAGTAAGTAAGTAAGTAAATAAATAAATAAATAAATAAAAGATAAATAAGGGGAGGAAAAAAAAGGGATTGCTCACTGGCAGTAGGGACAGGGAGCCACATTATGCACTTAATATCACATGTGCTCAATATGTATCAAGGGTTAGTACACAAATATCATTCCTAGATATTGCTATTACACACTGCCATTGAGTTGATTCTGACTCATAATGACCCCCATAGGATCTCCAAGGCTGCAAATCCTTACAGAAGCAGATTTCCCCATCTTTCTCCCCAGGAGCAGCTAGCTGGTTGGTTTGAACTACTAACCTTTTGGTTATCAGCTTGATGCCATAACCACAGCTCCACCAGAGCTCCTTAGATATTGTTATTAGAGAAGTAAAATAATTTATTAAAAATGTTACAATTAGCAAAATTTAAAATAAGAACAAATTGGAAATACTAATCAGGGAGAATGATTCATTGACTTTCTATTTTCTAGAATAGGTCTCCAGAGACTTGGCTATTTTTTGTTTCCTCTCAGGAGGAATACCAAATTATCTGTCTTTACATCAAGATTTTATGCTTTCTTTAGAAGCCTGTTTGAGTGAATTTCAATCCTTTGCATTCAAAGGATCCCTACAGTAGATACCAAAGTCCAACACTTTTTTCATATCCTTCACACAAATACCCCATAAACTCACAGCCATTGAGTTTAATCCTACTCATAGTGACCCTAGAGGAAAAAATAGAACTGCCTCACAGATTTCCAAAGCTATAATTATTTAAGAAAGCAGATTGCCTCATCTCTGATCCTTTCATTAACAGCACAATGCTTTCACCACTCCTTAAATAGCCCATGGTACACTTAGAAATAATATTAAAACTAATACTACAATTAATAATAAAAAAAAAGGAAAATTCAGTTAGTATATCTTTGACAATAGATAACACATGGAAAAAATCAGTGAGATTCACAATTCATAACAAATAAGTTACATAAAAATGTTGTTGCCAGGTGTCATCGAGTCGGTTCCTACTGATAATGACCCTAAGTACAACAGAATGGAAGTCTGAAAGATCTGTGCCATCCTCACTATTGTTGCTATGTTTAAAACCATTATTGCTGCTACTGTGTCAATCCATTTGGTTGAAGGTCTTCCCCTTTTTCATTGACCATACACTTTACCAAGCATGATGTCTTTCTCCTGGGACTAGTCCCTTGTTAACATGTCCAAAGTAAACAAGAGGAAGTCTCACTATCCTCACTTCTGAGGAATATTTTGATTGTACTAACAAATAGTACATAAAAATTAGTAAATAAAATTAGAGACGGATTAAAACAAATAAGACCATTATAGGAAATATAGGCAGGGAGCCCTTGTGGGTCAGTGCCTAAGGAATTTGATTGCTAATCAGCAGGTTGGTGGTTCAAATCCACCAGATGCTCCCAGAAGGAAGACAGGAAACTATACCTCCCTAAAGATTTATTACCACCTCTGAAACTAATGGGGGTCACTATGAATTGGAATTGACTCAGATAGGTAGAGTAGTGCAATATTTAACCTTTAAGAAATAGAAGCCAATACATATACAAATTTAAATGAATTCTATTACTGAAAATTAGAAAGTTTTGTATATCACAAGGAGTCCCTCCATGGTGCAAATTATTACCGTACCTAGCTGCTAATCAAAAGGTTAGAAGTTTGAGTTTACCCAGAGGTTACTTGAAAGAAATGTCTGGCAATCTACTTTCAAAATTCAGCCATTGGAAATCCTATGGCACATAGTTGTACTCTCGCACAAGGGGGTGCCATGAATCAGAATTGACTTGGAGGCATCAGGTACTGGCAAACATCACAGAATGATATACACAAAATTAAAAAAAAAAAAAAAATTAACCAAGATGGTTTGCAAGTATATTATCTTTAGCTAATATGATTATTTGGGAACTCTGGTGGCATAGTGCCTAAGGTATTTGACTACTAACCAGAAGGCTGGTGATCCAAACACACCAGCCACTCCACAGAAGGAATACTGGACAATCTACTTCTGTAGAGAGAAAAACAAAAAACCAAACTCATTGCCGTGGAGTTGGATCCAACTCATAGCGGTCCCTCCTTGGGTATCTGAGGCAGTATCACTACAGAAATAGATTGCTCAATTTTCCTTCCAAGGAGTGGCTGGTGGGTTTGAACCACTGGCCTTCTGGTTAGTAGTCAAATGGCTTAGGCACTATGCCACCAGAGCTATTCAACACTACACTGTATATAGATAATAAATACTGAAAAAATCCGTAGAGATACTGCCTCGGAAACCCAAGGAGGAGTCGCTAGGAGTTGGAATTGAGTTGATGACAGTATGTTTTAGCTTGTAATATGATTATTTATATTTAAAGGGCTTACACAAATTAATAAGAAAAGCACAAAAACCTTGCAACAAAATAGAACAATAATTGAATAAATAACAAAGGAATAAAGAGTCTATCTAGATCATGAAGATGCTGAAAAAAATCCAGTGGTTTTATAAGAAAATATATGCCATTGAACTTGATGATATTTCATCTATTAAATTAGTAACAGTTTAAAAAAGACATATTATTCTGCCTAACAATCATGACCTTAGATTTCTTCTATTAATATAATTTAGCATATATTTGATAATAATTTATCACAAATTGTTAATTATTTATTCTCAGATCCAATAATTCCACTTTTAGAAGTACATTCTAAAAAATAATCTAATATATAGACATTGAAATCAATAAATATTAATCATTACACTATGGTAATAAATATTGAAAAATTAATATCTGTGTATAGGGTAAAAGTTAAGTAATATATAATATGTATATGCCTAATGAAATATTTTATGTTAAAAAATTATATTTAGGACATGCTTTATTGCCAATAATAATGATTATAATAAAATAGTGTAAGAAAAAAGGACCAAAATGAATATACAATACAAGTGAATTATATAAAAATTGGTTGTATTTTTATCAGAATTAAAAAAAGACTAACAGTGATCATTTATTCATTTTTCAAATATTCTTCTTTATGGTTCTCTATATTTAAATTAGGAGCTCTGGTAGCGTAGTGCCTAAGGCACTTGACTGCTAACCAGAAGGCTGGAGGTTCAAACCCACCAGACAATCCTCGGAAGGAAGGCTGGGCAATCTACTTCCATAGTGATAATGTCTCCGAAACCCAAGAAGGGCTCGCTGTGAGTTGGGTCCAACTTGACAGCACATAACAGCAACAACAATATATTTAAATTATTTTTTACAAAACTTATGACTTACCTGTATGATAAAATGAGAAAAACAACAATATTTAAGAAACAAAAATGAATTTATTGAGCATTAATTCAACAAAGATATGAGAGTAATTTTGGGTTGGTATTTGTTGATGGTGGGCAGTTAGGAAGTTCAGTAAAAAAATAATCTTGATCAATAAATGACCCTTTGGAAATAGCAGATTGATACAGTCCATAATGTCTCCATTTTCTTGGAGAAAATAGAAAGAAAATAAATAAGTAAATAAAACTAATCTCTATTATGAGAAATACTTTCTCAAAAGAGAGATGGACCGGTCACTCCCAAATGGGAAATCTTCCCCAGCAGAGATTCAAGAAGTTATTTGGCAATGTGGTATAGGCAGGCTTAATCACCAACAGGGAAGTATGTGACTCAGCAAAACTGACCACGTAAAAAGGCCAAAAACCAGCTATATGTAGCATTTCTGAGAATTATAGGTGGTTAGATTTTTGTGCATGCATAGGAACCAAACAGTTCATACTGCTAGAACAGTACTTTACAGAAATTAGGACTGAAGGTTTTTCTAACTGACCAACATTGGACTTACTATTTCTCATGTAACCATTACACTATGGTCAAAATCAAATAAAACCAGAGTTTCACAAAGGCCATTAAAAAAAAAAAAAGAGAGAGAGAGAGAGAGAGCAGACTAACATGAGCCTTAGAAAGTAAAGGACAACCAGCAACTATCATTGTTCTCCAGTTTATCAGATTTTATGTATAGATTCTGCAAAGGGAGTTCCCAAATCTTTTTACCTGAGATGCCTCTTATGAGTTTTAATTCCCAGGGAAGAGGTAGAAATATCTTGTCATAGATCCTCTTTCAATGGTGGGCATCTGAGTCAGTTCATTTGGGGTTTCAAATGAATGTTGAACCTAAAGTAGTAAAAAAA